AAGCAGTTGAAACAACAAGGTCCTATTGTGTAGCACAGGGGACCATATTCAATACCCTGTGATAAACCATAATGGAAAAGAAAAAATATATATGTATAACTGAATCACTTTGCTGTACCGCAGATTAATACAACATTGTAAATCAACTATACGTCAATAAAATTTAAAAAAAAATAGAGGGGCTTCTCTGGTGGCACTGTGGTTAAGAATCTGACTGCCAACGCAGGGGACGTGGGTTTGAACCCTGGTCCGGGAAGATCCCACATGCTGCGGAGCAACTAAGCCCGTGCACCACAACTACTGAGCCTGCGCTCTAGAGCCTGTGAGCCATACTACTGAGACTGCATGCCACAACTACTGAGGCCTGCGCGCCTAGAGCCCGTGCTCTGCAACAAGAGAAGCCACCGCGATGAGAAGCCCATGCACTGCCACGAAGAGTAGCCCCCGCTCACCACAACTAGAGAAAGCCCACGCGCAGCAACGAAGACCCAAAGCAGCCAAAAATAAATAATTAAATAAACAAATTTATTTAAAAAAATAGGGAAGCAGTTAAATAAATTAGAGTATACCCACCCCATGGAATACTACACAACAGTTTTAAAAACAAACAAAATATAGCCATAAACGTCCAGATATGCAATGAACTTCAGAGCATGATATTTTCTCCAGTCATTCATAGAAGTACACATATGCCATGATCTATTTATTCAATATACTACTGATACCATTTAGGTTGTTTCCAAAACACACACACACACACACGTGCCTACACACACTGCAATATTCTTGTGCACGTTTTTTCATGTCCTATGTCTATATTTCTCTAGTCCAGATAAACAGAAGTGGAATTATAGGTTCAAAGATTCTGCATTTAAAATTTTAATAGATCCTGTCAAATTGTCTTTAAAAAGTCTTTATTATTTTACATTCCCTCTAATTGTGTTTTAAGCATATCCTACTACTCCCCAATGAATGCTTACTTATGCTGGATATTATTTATCTCTTCAATTTTTGCCCCATAGACCAAGAGAGGGGTTGGGAATCTCATTATTTTAATTTGCATTTCTCTAATTCTAGTAAAAAGAACATAGTTTCCATGTGTACTGGCCACATATATTTTTGTGTATTTCTCATTCTTCTATTGGCCCATTATTCTGTAGGGGTATTTGTATTTTTCTTATTGATTTGTAGTAACTTTATATATCTCAGCTATTAATCTTTTTTCAATTTTTTTATTGACGTATAGTTGATTTACAATATCGTGCCAATCTCTGCTGTACAGCAAAGTGACTCAGTTATAGACATATATACATTCTTTTTTAATATTCTTTTCCATTATGGTTTATCACAGGATACTGTATATCGTTCCCTGTGCTATACATTAGGACCTTGTGGTTTATCCATTCTAAATGTAATAGCTTGCATCTACCAACCCCAAACTCCTAGTCCATCCCTCTCCCTGCCACCTCCCCCCTTGGCCACCACAAGTCTGTTCTCTATGTCTATGAGTCTGTTTCTGTTGTGTAGATAGGTTCATTTGTGCCATACGTTAGATTCCACATATAAGTGATATCATATGGTATTTGTCTTTCTCTTTCTGACTTACTTCACTTAGTATGATGATCTCTAGTTGCATCCAAGTTGCTGCAAGTGGCATTATTTCATTCTTTCTTATGGCTGAGTAGTATTCCATTGTATGTATGCACCACATCATCTTTATCCATTCATCAGATATTAATCTTTATCAAGCAACTTGCAAAACATTTTCCTGTTTCTCTTTTGAATTTTAACTCTGATTATGGTTGTTTCCAGCAAGTTAAAAGTGATGCCATCTACTTTAATCAAATTCTTTATAACATTACAATTATTTCTAACAACATAGCAGAAGCTGAGAAAAAGTCTGAAATACTATCTTCTCAACTGAAATACTTCTGCTGGTGTTTTCTGTCCATTGGGAAGTAGTTGCCTTTTCTAACAGGGATTGAAGGGCAGAGAAGATTTAAGAGAAAATGGATTAAGTAATAGCATGGAACAGCAAAGTTGAAGAGCTTTCTTTCAGTTTCTCTTAATCATTTTGTTTGTAACTGTACAGAACATCAGACATTTGCCATGTGCAAATGTATGAACAAAAATGATATTCTATGGCTAAATATAAAATACTTTTGAATTGTTTATCATTGAATAGGTCTCATATTAAATCTTGCCTCTTACTATCCAGATTGTTTTAAAAAATGACTTTATTTCTAATACTAGATGGACCTTTAAAACCAATACTTAGTCCCTACAATGAATATCCCAAGTAATGTTATGTTTAAATCGACATCCTTATTTCTCCTTTCTTTTTTTGGAAAATGCATTTCTTATGTTATCGATTTCTTAATGTTGTTTGTAAAGTACACAAACAAAAACCCTAAAAACTAAAATGGAGAGAGAAAACTGAATTAAAGTAAATTGGAGGGACTTTCCTGGTGGTCTAGAGGTTAAGACTCTGCACTTCCATCGCAGGGGGCATGGGTTTGATCCCCGGTCGTGGACCTAAGATCCCGCATGCCACAGGGCGAGGCAAAATAAAATAAAATAAAATAAATTGGAAATATCCCCTTGAAACTTAATTGATGTAGCTTTCGTGGGGGTATGAAGATTACTATGTGATCTAGTGAATTTAAGGAATAAGTTTGTTGTTAGGCAAAAGAGAAAAACCAGTGAGTGTCATTTAGAAAATATTTATTAAATGTCTGATAGCATCAAGGAATGTATAACAAGGAGTATGATAGAACCATGCCGACCCCCTGTAGTTTAGCCAACTGCAGTAGATAGATAATTAGTGATCTCTGCAAATATATGTTTCTATTAGTTATGGTAAAAGAAAAGAATAAACAGGACCTTTTAAAAAGTTTGAAGACCTTGAACTTCATCCAGGGTGATATTGAAAATATTTAACAACTGGCAATGCTAACAACCAATCAAAACAGACAGTAGCTGGTCAGCCATACCACTGAGCACTGGCTGAACATTAGCCCTGGTTATATTAATTTAGGGATTTCCACTAATAGTAAGTGGAATGACAGTGCAAATACAGTCATTCTAAATAAATGTCTTTTTTAAGTTTCTGGTAACAGATGCAAAGTTAGTTTAAAAACATAAATAGAATATGAGAAAAACTTAGCTAGACTGCAGTATTTTAAAATTAATTTTTAGTGAATTTATTTTAGAATATATATATATATATATATATTTTTTTTTTTTTTTTGGCCCACACCGTGTGGCATGTGGGATATTAGTTCCCTGACCAGGGATTGAACCCATGTCCCCTGCATTAGAAGCACAGAGTCTTAACTGCTGCACTGCCAGGGAAGTCCCTTTAGTGAATTTATTTTATAAAATTTTAGTACTATTTTGAATAGGTAATACATTCACATGATTAAAAACATTCACATGGTTAAAACTTCAGAAGGTACAAAAGACTATTCACCTAAAAGTGCAGGTTTTTGCATAGCCGTGTTTTCAGTTCTCTTAAGTGAAGAGACTATCAGGTGAGACTGCAGAGGAATTTGAGGAGTAGTACGCATTGCTCAGAGATGGGGACTTTGATCATGATGGACAATAGTCACTGAGACCGTGTTTCCTTTGAGGAAGAGTGTGAAAGTCTCTGTGCTAAGGATAGTCATATCTTGTTAGGTAAAAGCATAAAGTTGTTACAGTGTTCCTTTGGAAGTTTAAGCATACGTAGAGGGGTGTATATGGATGCTAAGGAGTTAAGTGGGTGAGCTGTGCTGGTTTCTAAGCTATCATCTCTCAGATCCAAACCCACCCCGTATTCTGTGAATATGGAAGGCTAGGGCTCCACAAACCAAATTTCTCCTTTGACGGCGGGCTCCCTGTTAAATACTGCCAATGGGGAGGGGTCACTAGAGGGAAACTGAGGGAGAAGAACCTCACTCCTTTCTGTTTCCTTGCTGTTCCTGGCACTTATCACCTTAGCTCTTCACCCTGGCAGTAGCAGTTGATTCCTGAATCCTGTTTTTTCCACACTCCCAGAACCATCATGCTTCCTCAGATATATCTGAATCAGCTGGCCATGATATCCTCTATTTTATTCTGTAGACGTCCCCTACAGGGATGGTCCCAGCTCCAGAGTCCTTTCTTTGGGCTCCTGAGGTATCAGCGAAGCTGGTGGTAGCTACTTCCTGCATCTCTAGCTCCACGGTACCTCAGTGTTCCCTTTTTGTCTTTTCTGTCTTCTAGTATTTATTTAACCAGTTCTATTTATTAAATTATGTCTGTTAAAATAACTGGCATGATTTCTTTTTTTTTTGACTGAACCCTAACTGATACATACAGAAAGTACCAGTCAAACTTCTGAGGGAATGAGCAATCGCTCATTACCTTATGTCCAAACTGAATTCTTTGGGCTCCATGATAACATAACACAATATAGAAGTAAGTATACTTTTTTTTTTTTTTTTTTGGGCAGTGTCACCTGGCATGCAAGATCTTAGTTCCCTGACCAGGGATTGAACCCACACCCCCTGCAATGGAAGCATGGAGTCTTAATCACTGGAAGTCCCACTTTTTAATTTTTTTTAATTATTTTTTTATTGAAGTATAGTTGATTTACAATGTTGTACCAATCTCTGCTTTGCAGTAAAGTGACTCAGTTATACATATATATATCTGTATTCTTTTTTTTTGTATTCTTTTCCATTATGGTTTATCCCAGGAGATTGGATATAGTTCCTTGTGCTATACAGTAGGACCTTGTGGTTTATCCATTCTAAATTTAATAGTTTGCATCTACCAACTCCAAACTCTCAGTCGATCCCTCTCCCTCCTCCCCTCCCCCTTGGCAACCACAAGTCTGTTCTCTATGTCTCTGAGTATGTTTCTGTTTTGTAGGTAGATTCATTTGTGCCATACTTTAGATTCCACATATAAGTGATATCATATGGTATTTGTCTTTCCCTTTCTGACTCAGAAGTAAGTATACTTTAAATAGTTACCCATTTTCCAAGCAGAGCTCTTCTTTCTTCAAATACCTACAATAAATAAAAAAAAGAATGGAATGATTTCATATTTCACTGTTCAAAATACCCATTACAAAAAAGACATCATTAAAGTATCAATAAATATTGACAGGCTTTTCATTATATCTACTGAGTATAAAACAGATTTTGTACCTGAAAAGGTACTTTACTTATATTTTTTTAATATTTATTTTATGTATTTATTTGGCTGTACCAGGTCTTAGTTACGGCATACGGGATCTTCGTTGCCGCGTGCAGGACCTTTTCTTTTTTTTTTTTAGTTGCGGCATGCGGGATCTAGTTCCCTGACCAGGGATTGAACCCGGGCCCCTTGCATTGGGAGTGAGGACTCTTAGCCACTGGACCACTGGGGAAATACTTTTACTTATTTTTAACTTGGGTAAAGTTTCTTTTTTCTCAGTTTCTCCATGTGAAATAATTCATCTTAAAGAAGAAATAATTTTTTAAAGGCAAGAAATAAGAAAAGCTGGGAATTCCCTGGCAGTCCAGTGGTTGGAACTTCGCGCTTCCACTGCAGGGGGCACGGGTTCAATCCCTGGCTGGGGACTAAGATCCCACAAGCCACTCGGCATGGCCAAAAAGAAAAAAAAGAAATAAGAATGGAATTGCTAAGTGAAATCATTTTTGGAATTTGAAAGGAGACGAAAAAACTGACAAAGGAAAAACAGGAAAATGGAGCACCTCCCCCAAATATTTCAGCATCAATAGTATAAGAACCTGTGAAATTTATGAGCGAGTGGCTCTGTTTTTATATTTCCATGAGTTCACATATCAGGGGGTTGTACATGACTTATATGTTTGTAGGATTAGAAACTTGCATATGTGCGCCTCTGGGCTTACAGCTCAGTGTTTATCTGTATAGGTTTGTCGTTATATACTACTTAGGATAGAAACCATGTCTTAGTCACCTTGCAGTGCAGTGCAGAGTGCTGTACAGGGCATATTACAGGGACTCACGTTTGCCGGACTAAATGAATGTGATCGTGACAAATGAATATCCTTATGGATGTATCGGTACAATGTGAGTGTATTTCTAAACTGGTTTTTCTGAGCATCAGTCATTTGTATATTTGAATGAGTGAGGAAGGGACAACTAACGTGAGAATGTTTGGCGGAGGAGGGAGTTCTGGGGAGAGGAAGTAAGAGACAGCAGTGAACAGATGTGAATGTCTCTCTCACTCCTACACTACACCCTCTGTCAGCTTTCAAAATTGGGCCTGATGTTTTTCCCTTCCTCTTGGCACTATCTAAATTCTCTCGCACTGTTAAGATCGTTCCTATTTGGAAAGTAGCACAGGCCTATTTCTTCCCTTTTGTGGAGGAGGATGAGGCGCTGGCTTCATTCTTCCAACAGATATGCTTTCCTTCCTTTTTCAGACTCTCAAACTCTACTTTCAAAGGGCATACGACACAGAGATTGAAATAACTGGTTCAACAACAACCTCAAGGCCTGTAAAATGTCATCTTTGCTACTAACCACGGAACCTCATACATCACAGGCAGACATTTTTTATACTTTAGAGAAGAAGAAAAAGAATACCATTCTCGGGCTTCCCTGGTGGCACAGTGGTTGAGAATCTGCCTGCTAATGCAGGGGACACGGGTTCGAGCCCTGGTCTGGGAGGATCCCACATGCCATGGAGCAACTAGGCCCGTGAGCCACAACTACTGAGCCTGCGCGTTTGGAGCCTGTGCTCCGCAACAAGAGAGGCCGCGATAGTGAGAGGCCGGCGCGCCGCGATGAAGAGTGGCCCCCGCATGCTGCAACTAGAGAAAGCCCTCGCACAGAAACGAAGACCCAACACAGCCAAAATAAATAAATTAATTAATAAACTCCTACACCCACTATCTTCTTTAAAAAAAAAAAAGAATACCATTCTCCCTTTCCCCCTAATTAACTGCTACCTGGGCTACTAAGGCCCTCAAATAACGGCAACAGATAAACTCAGAATTTCTAAATGAAAATAGAAGAGCGGACTTCCCTGGCGGTCCAGTGGTTAAGACTCTGGACTTCCACTGCAAGGGGGCGCGGGTTTGATCCCTGGTTGGGGAACTAAGGTCCCGCATGCCCCAGGCGTGGCCAAAACAACAAAACAAAACAACAACAACAACAACAAAAATAGAAGAGAACCTAGAGAATACAGAAGACTGAAAAATCAGGATTCAAATATTTCCTGAACCCTACTCTTGTGTCTAACCAAATCCTACCAATCATCTAATTCCCAGCCCAAGTCCCTGGCACCAACACGTTTCCGGCACCCGCTGACCTCACTCCTCCCAACTCCTCCTCCACTTGCAGCCCATGCTCCACCTGGACTTTCTAGGGTTTGCTATTGCCTGCCAGGTGATTCTGTTCATTTCATCTTCCCGTGTAGATTACAACCACTTTCCCTTATATGCTCCACAGGCTCCACGGCAGGCTCTCAACAAACACCTGCTGATGGAAAAACAACAGTTTCAGACGTCGTAGAATTTTAGAGCTAAAAGGAATCCTAAGATCTTTTTGTTCAATTCCCCGATTTTAGAGGGGATAAGCAGAGGCCCAAAGAGTTAATCATTGGTTCCAGACTGTCTGTTCAGCTCAACTCTATACTTGGTTCCTCCCTAGATCCCTGGTCTTCCCTATCCTGACCTCCAGCCCTACGTTCTCCTTTTTTGTTTTTTAAGCTTATATTTAGTTGGACAGATTGATACATGTGTTATTTATTTATTTTTAAAACTTATTTGGCTGTGCCGTGTCTTAGTTGTGGCATGCGGGATCTTTGTTGCGGCATGTGGGATCTTTAGTTGTGGCACATGGGATTTTTTGTTGCAGCATACGAAATCTAGTTCCCTGACCAGGGATCGAACCTGGGCCCCCTGTATTGGGAGTGTGGAGTGTTAATCACTGGACTGCCAGGGAAGTCCCAGCCCTATATTCTCAGTGAACTGCTGCTCACACTTTGGCCTGACAGTGGGAAGAAAAAAAGATTAGGTCCAAAGACCACAACCTCCTTTCAAAAGGAGGTTGGGATGATGACCATCGTGGTGTCCATTGGTAACAGGGGGCATTGGAAAGAAAGGGGCACTGACTTGAAGGGGAGAGGAGGGTCAGCAAGAAGGTGGCAGGAAAGGAACAGGGTGGGAGGTGGAGTGTTTAGAGAGCCAACAACCAAGTCTAAGCAGGATGCAAGCAAATCCAGTTCTTTACCAAAAGGCATTTAGACCCAAGTGGAAACTGATGGGAGTAAAGGGGGAGAGGAGAAACACCAGACAAACTCAGATCTGGTTCTACTCTGCCCTTGAAAAGAAATAAAATTTGGGACAAATTATTTAATTGTCAGGTCCTCAGTCAGACTCAGAATCATGTATTCTCTGGTTTGGAGCAAGTCCTCATTCCAAGGATTTGCAATCAGGTTTTTCACCTTTAAGAGCTGGGAAGGGGGTGGAGGGATAAATTAGGAGTTTGGGATTAACATATATATACTACTCTATGTAAAATACATACCCGACAAGGACCTACTGTATACCACTGGGAACTATACTCAATATTTTGTAATAACCTGTAAGGGAAAAGAATCCGAAAAAGAATATATATATTTGTATAACTGAATCAGTTGGCTGTACACCTGAAACTAATACAGCATTGTAAATCAACTATACTTCAATTAAAAAAAAGAGCTGGGAAACTTATAGCTTCAAGTGGAAACGTTAAAGTGGGTCTCCTTTCCTTGCAGAATGCTGTCGTCTGTTTACATCACAGTTTACTCAGAGCCTGCTGTTAAGTCAAAATCCCACGGTTGTTATTTTAGTCTGTTGACACTGCAGTTCCATATTTTACCATGTGACATCATTAAAGTTAGGAATAAGACATTTCGGGGCTCCTAAATGATGACGGATATATGGTAGTTAGGTGCTTTTTCTCAGAACACCCTTTTAATGTGTACTGTACTACATGTGCGAACCATACTCAAAAAGAAATGTTGATCATTTTCAATTAAAACACTGGATGGCAAAGAAATACATACTTTTAAAACATTCCTTCTCTCAAAGTTCACAATGTCTGAATTATTTTATAATCTGTTATATTTGCCTAAACTGATGATGCTATTTTTTTTAGGTGTTTACATTTGAATTCAATCTCTATGCTTAAAGCCTGCTGTGAAGTTAAAACCCTGTGACTTTCAGTCTGAGACAGTTACGTATTTCACATTTTACTACAGAGCAGAAAAAAGGCAAAATTAAAAACCAAAAACAGAGCCTCAAAATTACGCTGATCATTGGTGACAAACGCCCTGTTTTAGAAATACAGAGTAGCCCTTGAAGTTATTGTATGGTCACCTTCTGCCGAGCTGTTTCCTTGGCCATCTATTTTTAATCCTTTTCACACAGTCAGAATGTTAGATCTGGAAGGGACTTTTGAGGTCATCTGACCCAACCCACTCATTTTCCAAAGGAAGGTAGTAAAGACCAGAGATGTAAGTGACTCACTGAAGTCAAGCAGGAGGTTATTAGTACAGCTGATCTGGAACCTGTGTTTTCAATTCTCAGAGTTTTTGTTCTTTGTTTGCTTTTATTTATATTTGTTTTTTAAATTGTTTTAAAATTTGAAATATTATTGCACTGTATAAAGTAAAAACCAAAAACTCTTCTAACAGACCTCCCTCCCACCTTCCCATGCCATCCAAATCTTTGGGGGAAACCACTATTAATAGTTTGGTATATACATATCCAAATTCCATGGGTGTGTCTATGTACATTAATACACAGACATATGGGTATATAGACATGCCAAGATTTTTAAAAAAAAATTTTTTTTGGCCACACCGCGGCATGTGGGGTCTTAGTTCCCCAACCCGGGATCGAACCCACACCCCCTGCAGTGGAAGTCCGCCAAGATTTTTTAAAATAATTTTACTCCAAACTAGAACCTAACTAAACCAAAATAAAGCAATTTTGGAATAAAATGGGAGTTCTGAACAACAAAATAAATATCTTTAGAAATTATCATGAAATTTGACAACAGCTCTTCAGGAACCAAGATAAGGCTGTGTCATGCTTGCTATGATGCGTGGCCCAGATTCCCCTCCAGGATTGAAGGATTTATTCCCCCCAACTGTTGGGAGTGCTGCTTGCTGACAGCCATGAGCTGGAGAGATCTGCCCTGACTAAGATCCCATCCACTGAATGCTCAGTGTGGAAGTATAAAGGCCAGGCCCCCTGATGCAATGCAAGACTCTGAAGGATCTTTGGGGTGTCCTACAGGGTCCATGGAGGCCTTGTTGCAACTGCTTCACAGCCTAGCTTCTTCCTCTGCCCTAAATCTACATCCTGTTCTTCCCTCTCCACACCTCCCCAGGTATGGATCTTGAGAGCCTTCCCACATCAACGCCCTACATGCCAATCTCAGAGTCTGCTTCTCCAGTAACCCAACCTGCAACAGGCAATCAGACAATCAGACAATCAAGATACATTTTCTCCATGGCTGCTAAATCGATGAAGACTTCTCATTTTTCAAAGAAAATTTCTGAAAATGAAGACATCCAACGAATACGTATTTCAATTCAAGTCACATTTTCACGTGCGTAAAACCTTTACAATTCTATGAGAAAACGTATTTCAAAACTAAACACTGGAGTTTCTGGGGGCAGAAAGCAGAGAAGCTGCTATATAAACTGTTGGAGAACTAAGAGCATTGCAAACAGGTGCTCAATAAATAATTGTTGAGCTGAATTAAAAAAGACTGTCAATAGACTTGCTTTTTGCTCATGGCTGGGTGAAGGCTGGATTTCTCTCTTTCTCTGCTTCTCCTTTTGTTTCTCCTCGTGCCTCCTTTTTTTTTTCTATTTCTCGATCTCCTTTCCTCACTTCCTTTATCTTTTTCCCTTCCAGTATCTCTCCCTTTTACTTCTCAGTATTCCAATCGCTATGTTGGTTCCTCTGTCTCTCTCCCAAATTTGCTCATGTTCTGCATCAAATGAGTAGAAACAGGAAAGTCCTGAGCAGAAGGGGTCAGGATGGATGCTCCAGCTTTGCCAGAGCAATTAGCATAGCTGTTAGTTCAGAGAGGCAAAGGGTCAACTCCAGGCTAAGGAAGGAGAGACGTGGGGACAAGAAGGTCAGAGTCAATGAAGGAGGGCTCAGTGAGTACAGCTGACCTCTGACTCCATTCTTTGTGCTTCAGGAAACACATCAGGCTCTGGAGATGCAGAGAGAAAAGACAGAATCGCAACCCTTAACACATTAGGGTCGGGACTTCCCTGGTGGTCCAGTGGTTAAGACTCCATGCTCCCAATGCAAGGGGCACGGGTTTGATCCCTGGTTGGGGAACTAAGATCCCGCAGGCCACATGGTACGGCCTAACAAACAAAAAAGAAAGATCATATAAAAACACATTAGAGTCAAGTGGAGAAGTCGGTAAACAGTGACGAGAAGAAAGAAAAGCAAGGAGGATTAGGCTTCCCCGAGAAATGACATTTCAGATAACTCTTGCAGGAGGCCATGAGGAGGGCACTACAAAGGCATGGAGGGGATGAGAGAGCTTGGCCCAGATGTAGGATGAGAGGAGGCAGAGGCAGGGCTTGAACTGCGATGCTGGTTGAGTCAACTCATGAAGGGTCCTCAGTGCTATGTGTGGGGCGGGGGTTGGAATTTACCCTTCGGAGCAGCGTGTTATCAGTCTTACTTAATAGGATTAGTTTGGTACTTTAGAAAGATCATTCTGGGATCAGAAGAGAGGATGGATTGCTAGGGATAGAGGCAGTGAAACCAGTTGGGGGGGTTACTACAATGTGCCAGGCAAAGGGTGATGAGGGCATGAACTGAGAATGTGGAGCTGGAGGTACACAGTGAAAGGAGAAAAGGGGTCCGGATGAAGAGACCTAGGAGGAAGACTCAGAGCTTCAAAACGAATTGCATGTGGGAGTGAGGCAGAGCAGTGGCAGACACTCCTTCCTGACCTTCTCATCTCCTAAATATCTTGAAATGCCAGGAGTGCAAGGTCCTGACTGCCCTTTTCTTGGGCCATTACTCCAGGCTGTGCTGGCAGCAAGGAACCTTGAGGGGTGAGGTACTAACTCCCTTTAGAACCAAGAGCAGCCTTGCTAATGCTCAGTATTGAAAGCAGTGGATTCCCTGGGCTCCTTGCTCCTCACCTGTGGTGCAGACCCACTGTGTGCGTAGTATTTATCTGGGTCTCTGCGTCACCCCTGTGGCACAAGGTGGGCCAGGAGAACCTGTGCAAACATGATGCTCACGCCCCTTGCTGCACTGTAAGAAAGTTCTTTGTCTCTGACCCAAGTATCTGTTGTCTTCTACTGTGAAACAGTAGTGACTTTGCCATAAGTAACAGGCTAAGTTATTAGCTTGTAAGATGGGGAAAACCAAACCCTGGACCCAAGAGGGAGAAGGAAGATTTGCAGCTTGAGTGATTTGGTGTAAAGTGATGCCCTTCCTTAGGGGGAGGAACTGGTGTGTAGGAGCAAGATAATGAGGTCAGTTTTATTGATTGTAATTTACTGTCAACTAGATATGGTCCTTGTATATAAGTATTGATATAGGAGCTCACAGACCTGTTGGGAATTCTGCCCCTAATTGAAGCAGGAGTAGAAATCCCCAGAGGTTGGCAATCTCACATGCCCACATGATACCCAGCTGTCCACACTTGCAATGCTTTTTCTGGTGTCTTCTGCTGGCACCTCCCCAGAACGCAGGTGGCAAATAAACTTCTTAGGAGAATCTGAGTAATGTGAGTAATCAGCTGACATTGACTCGTTTTATTTACTTGGTTAAATGTACAGCTTTATCCAGTAACCTCAACTCTAGCAAGGAAACCTATTTTGGGGGGAACTCCTCACACATCACCCCCTCCTCTTTCATTTCCGGTGGTTCCTGCAAAGAACCAGTGATAGAAGGGAAAAGGCATTTGGGGTGAGAGAGAGGAGGAGTGACAGTGGAGGAAAGAGCAAATCTAAGACCTTTCTTTCTAGGCAGGAACTCTGTGTCTACTGCCAACCCTGGCCATGCAGCAAGCGTTCCGTTAAAGTTTCTGAAAAAGCCCTTCATTTTGTTTTTTTATCCATTACACAGTCCTAAACAATTAATGTTTATATTTTGATAACCAAGATTTTAATACTTTTTTTTCTTTAAGGCGTGGACCCAACTGATAAAATAGCTCTTATCACTTACCCGGTTATTCAAAAGCTGATGGTTTAAGGGTGTCCAGGTACTCATCTTTGCCTGCATTTTGGGACCACCTATGTTTTTTGGAGGTGCAAATGCCATCATGAAATAACTGGATATTCTTCCATAAGAAAAACTATACCTGTTGAAGAAATGAATCATATAATCTTCAGAATACTAAAAACACTAATACCATATAATCTTTTAGTACGTTGGGACCAGGGAATGGGAGGGCTGACATTTATTGGGAACATTTTATATGTCAGGAACTTTTATGTTTGCTCAATTAAAACTCATTACAGGGCTTCCCTGGTGGCACAGTGGTTAAGAATCCGCCTGCCAATGCAGGGGACACAGGTTCAAGCCCCGGGCCGGGAAGATCCCACATGCCACGGAGCAACAAAGCCCAAGTGCCACAACTACTGAGCCTGTGCTCCAGAGACCGTGAGCCACAACTACTGAAGCCTGCGTGCCACAACTACTGAAGCCCGCACACCTAGAGCCCATGTTCCACAACAAGAGAAGCCACCGCAATGAGAAGTCCGCGCACTGCAACAAAGAGTAGCCCCTGCTCGCCGCAACTAGAGAAAATCCACGCACAGCAAGGAAGACCCAACGCAGCCAAAAATAAATAAATAAATAAATAAAACTCATAACAATCTGGTGAGGTGGTGGGTTTTAGCTCATTTTACAGATGAAGAAAATGAGGCTCACTGAAATAATACTCTCTGCCCAAATTTATACAGACAGTAAGCGGAGAACTGGAAATCAGACCCAGGTCTATTTAACTCTGCTTGATTTTCATTGAACCATGGGAGAAATCCAGAATCTCTCCTAGCTAAGAACATACCATATTGGCCAGAAAGAAGAAGTATTTATAAAATCACAGTGCAGTATAAAAACACTCTATCTTTGTCCCTTGTGACATTCTTCCTCCCCTCTTATCTTTCTGACATCTAGGTAACAAGGGTTCTAGCTTGATACCATATTTAAGAGGTAGAATGGTACAACAGATAAAGCCAAGACTTTGGATACAGACAGATTTGGGTTTAATGGGGGAAATGTGCTGTTTTTAGATGTCCAGTACTAAATATGTCTTCCTTCATTTGATTAAAGCACTCTAGTTTCCATTAGGAATTACTTCTCCCTCATTATTTAGAGTCTGCTCTGTTGGTTAATCAAGGTGGCCTCCCCCTCCCCAGTCATGAGACCAAGCTAGGCAAGTTTACTTTTTTTTTTGGGGGGGGGGGGCTGTACCACTCAGCTTGTGGGATCTTAGTTCCCTGACCAGGGATTGAACCCAGGCCCACAGCAGTGAAAGAGCCAAGTCCTAACCACTGGAGCTGCCAGGGAATTCCCCTAGGCCAGTTTACTGATGCTGGCTTATCCTTACTTTACAGCTGAGGTGGTCATTCAAAGTACCATAGGTGCTCTGAGCAGACTAATAAGCTGTCATTGCTGCCTCAACCTTCGGAAGCCCCTTGTCCTTTCTTACTCATTTTGTAAGCCAGCTGATACAATAAATCAATCTCCTCTTTAGCTTCCATTAGCTAGAATCTATTTCTGTTGTTTGCAACCAAAACTTTTTACCTTATACAGTTTGGATCCTCGTTCTAAAACTTACTAGCTGTGTAACTTTTTGCAAGTTATTGAATCCATCTCAGTTTCCCTATTTGTAAAATAAGGATGTGCGTATCTACCCTCAACTGCTGTTGCAAAGGTTAGAGAAAAAAGGCTCAAGCAGAATGCCTGACAGATGAGTGGTCTTGATAAGTAGAATCCCTGCAGCCTTTCTTAGAACTCCCTGTCATTTACAGAGTGCCTCAAAGCCTGTGCTTTAGAAGCCCACAACAAAATATTTTAAAGTGAAAAATATTTAAAGCAGACTGATGGTATTTTCAGTATGTATCCTCCATGTTTCTGCTTATTTGTGCTTTTCTTCCTCTCTGTAGGTAGGTTTCATGTCCAAGGAAGTGGTGCTGAGTGAGGGGGCTAGGACTTACTTGCCTGCTTGATCTCTGGGCTACGAAAATTACAGCAGCAAATACTGGACAGCTCTTTTAAAAAAAATCACTAGTGTTTACCTGATAGAGGATTCCCCAAATGCTAGATCTGAAATTTTGAGGCTCTCACTTGACATGTAATATTCTCTCTCAGGTTTAAGTTAGAGCTGAAGATAAAGCCAATGTTTTAAAATCTCAGGGTTTTAAACAGTAGACAGTATCTTCCTACAGTTTTTTGCTGTCACCACTCCACTGGCATAAGGGGGCTCAGATCAGTCCTTATATTCTTAGCTCCAAACAGCTATGTTGCAAAAGGTGTAAGAAATGATTTCATTACAGTGTTATTAATTGGCAGCTATAAAAGTACACGTGAGCAGGCAAATTATAGGTACAAAGCATGGTCACTGAATCTAGATCTGCCCAGTTAAAAATCACATATTTCTTTTTTGTTATTGTTATTTATTCATGTTTGACCTTTCTTCTCTTTAAACCAATTGGTTTTTTCTTTGTTTTATTTTAAATTTTTATTTATTTATTTTGGCCGCTCTGTGCAGCTTGTGGTATCTTAGTTCCCCGACCAGGGATTAAACCCGGGCCCTCGCAGTGGTTAAGAATCCACCTACCAATGCAGGGGACACAGGTTCGATCCCTGGTCCGGGAAGATCCTACATGCCGTGGAGCAACTAAGCCCGTGTGCCACAACTATTGAGCCCGCGTGCCTAGAGCCAGTGCTCCACAACAATAGAAGCCACTGCAATAAGAAGCCTGTGCACCACAACGAAGAGTAGCCCCCGCTCACCGCAGCTACAGAAAGCCCACACTCAGCAACGAAGACCCAATGCCACCAAAAATAAATAAAATTTTTAAAAAAATTCTATAAACCCAGGCCCTTGGCAGTGAAAGTGTGGAGCCCTAACCACTGGACTACCAGGGAATTCCCTAAACCGATTGTTTTCAATCTTTTTTTTTCAGGGCCATAAAACTCTTAGAGAATATGATGAAAACTCCTGCTGCAAGCTGAGAAACTCTCTCTCTCTTTCCAGTTTGTGTAGGAAACAATCTGACTGATTCTAGGCGCAATTTCTGATTAGGACAAAGTAGCTTTTCTAGGGCCTCCCCAAGGCCTTACACTGGTTGTTTTCTTTGTCCTGGGTCCTCAGAGCTAGAAATTATTTGAATTAGGCTTTCTTCAAATCAACTTGAGGAAAGTTTGGTTTTCAGGAGATGGGCCAGGCCAGGAGAAAGAGACCTCTTGGTAATAGTCTTGCTGAAGCAGGCAAATGGAGGTGCCCTGCTCTGTCTTTTGTCATTATCTCTTCACAGTTTTTCCTCCTCCATCCATTCTAGAAGATGGGCACCACGCATATTTGCACGCCCACACCGGTTCACAGTATAGACCACTCAGACACTTCTATACAACATACATAAAAATAACAAGACAAAGCAAGTTGTCTTCCCTTCTTCAACATACAAAGCTTGCTGTTGCTTTTTTATGACCTCTTTTCCCCTTAATGGCTGTCGTTGCATGTTCATCTTTAATTTTTCTTTGGATAACAAGGAAGAAAAAGGGCTTATGGCCCTTGCCCCCGATGTGTGGTTCTAGTTCCATGTTTAAAGGCAAAGATAGGTCCTCTGGTAAAGTTCCAGTGGTCACGTACCTCCAATACCATCTTCTAAGCCATTCTTCACACTGTCACCATTATTCAACTGCACTAAGGACCTTATTAGGCCTGTATTAGAGGTACAAAGATGAGAGTCTTGGCTATAATGGAGCTAAAAGTCTACTGCTAGAGAGGTTTCTTTTTTTGTTTTTTGTTTTTTTGACAAATAAAAAAGGTATATATTTAAGGTATATAACGTGATGTTTTAATACATGTATACATTGTAAAATGCTTACCACAATCAAACTATTTAACATATCCATCACCTCCCATAGTTACCGTTTGTGTGTGTGATGAGAATGCTTGAGATCTACTCGTTTAGCAAATTTCAAGTATACATTATTATTAACTATAGTCACAATGCTGCAGATAGGGTCTCTAGAACTCATTCATTTTATAACCAGAGGTTTGTACCCTTTGATCAATAGCTCCCCATTTCCCCCACCCCCCCAACCTTTGCTAATCACCACTCTCCTTGGGAGGTATTTTTAAAAAATACCTGTCATTTTTCAGCTCAAAAATCTTCAGAGGCTTGATAATGGCTACAGAATATCCAGGCTTCTTAGCATGCAAATCTAGGTCCACTATGAACTTACCTCCACCTACCTTTTCAACCTCATCCTCCTTTCTCTCCCTTCACGCACTATATGCCCAGACACACTGAACTTCAGATCAGAGAACGTGGTACAAAACCGATGCTTCTTTGCTTATGTGGTTTTCTGACACTGCTCACCTGAATCCTAATCTCAGTAGTACGTACGTAATGGGTGCTCAATAAATATTTGTCAGCTGAATGAATGAATACAACAGTGGAGGGGAGGCGGTTTAAGGATTAAAACTAGTGGAAGGGAAGGATAAAACTCAACATTAGGAACTGACCACTGGTATTAAACTCAGGACGATCGGATTTTTATTTGGAGTTTACAGAGCGGAAGAGGATTGAGTTTCTATACTAACATACATCTCACCCATTGTACATTGCAGTATCATCAGAGGAGATCAGATATTATCAGGAAATTATCAGGAAAGAGGGTATGGTTAGACTTAAATATGAATTCATCTGATATTCAACTAGGTAGAAACAGAAAAACTATAATGCCGTGCAAAGAGCTAGTGCTTGATAGGCATAGAAACAATTATTTGTTGGTTGTTAATTTCAGAAATATGAAGCATCTGTCACTTGAACTGCAGCTGAAACGGAGCAAAATGTAATTCCCGGGGGGCACTGCCAAGGTTTGTGAGAGACCCAGGAGGATCTGAGAGAGGAGCTCTCAAACGAAAGCCTCCATCTTTTTCATGCACTGCCCACTGCTCTCACCTCTTTTGGTTCGTCTTTCTCTTCAAGCCTCTGGCGCTGGTGTTGCCATAGTTGCTGTTTCTTTGACTCTGTCTAGCCCCCACCCCTTCCAGTAGTCCAATCACCGTCTATAAATCTTTTCGCTGGCATCCGGGGTCTCTTAGGCAACAATGTGTGGTCTCTTGATTGGCCAGGAGATCCTGGAGGGCTGGCTCCAAAATTGGGCGCACGGATAAAACGAAAAAGTGTGAGCGCCAAGAGGGTGGGAGGGACTGCAATCTCCCAATATAATGCTAGTACGAAGATGCAGCCGATCCCGAAATAAACAGCCTTAAAAGCCCTCGTTCAAGACGTGTGTTCCAAATCAGGCCAACCTACTGAGCATGCCCAGTTACATCGTTCTGGTAGCTCCAGGGTTCCAAAATGTCAACTCCATTTCTCCGGGTTTTAAGAGTGGCCAACAGGTAAAAGAAGGTTGGAGGAAAAAGAATTCTAGAGAGGTTCAGTGAAAGAATAGCACCTGCACACAGGAAGTGGAAGAACGTGGGAAAACTGCCCAACACACAAACTCGCAAATGCTTCAACATGACTTTTAATCTATTGGATTAAAGAATTCAGGCCGATTGACAGATACACCAGGGAACCAGCAGATGGCATGCCTTAATAAGAATAGCTCCAAATTTGGGAAATTTTAGGATCGGTCTAATTTAATTAATTAAATTTGTGGAGTATCCACCATGTAATGAGAGGCGGAGTGAGAATGCAAGGATTAAAAAAGAAATCTAATGAGGAAGCCTGGAAAATGCAATGTAGAAATAACTACTGTAAGGACCACAGTGATAACTACTGTGATAGAACTATAAACAAGTGTTAGAGAAAAACAAAACATTCAACATTTCAGAACGGAGCTTCTCTGGTAAATGTAAAGCAGTTCTTATGGGCAGCAGCTAAACAAACAAACAAAAAGACTTTCTCACTATCTAATAATTCCTAAAATAGATAAAAATGTACTCCTATGCAAACAAATGTAAACTCTATGTTTGTAACGTTTCATAGTTTTGAAATAGGCAGCATTTGTATATCTCCCATTTAAAAAGAAAATGAAAAGTGAAGCTCATAGAGGTTGTTGCTTTCCGTGAGTTGACAAAGGATCAGTAACTGGCCAAACTGAAATTAGAACCTAGGTTGTCTGAATTCCAGCCTAGTGGTTTTTCCGCATGATCAGGTTGTATGTAAAATGAATAAACAAAGCCTTTTTGCAGGGCCAGAGGCCTGGGGGAGGTAGGTAGATGCAATACTAAATTACCGTGTATTACCAGTTAACATGTATGGTTTCAAGACGGGTTCATCCAGAAAGAGACCAGTTTTAACAACATGCTGGGAGAGTGCTGTGTCTCTGTGAAGTTCCCGCTCATTAAAGATTTTCTACTGGTGGTTACAACATTGAATGAAAGAGAGATGGGTTTAAAGAGAGCAGAACACTTTAACCCTGTTAGAGCTGAATATTTTTATCCATGAAAATAAGGTCCCTTTCTTCGATCCTCTCAACCAGCGCCCTCTAGACCTGTGTTCATGGTGAGCGCACTGGCTCAATATCCTTGATAATTCAACATTACTTTTAAATGAAACATTTCAACCACAAAGAAAAGTTTAGAGACTTGCCTAAGAAACACCCTTGTCTCCCCACAGAGATTTTTAAAAATGTTAACATTTTGCTTCCTGTTTGTGATTAACAGTTGAAGCCCCTTTTGCATGCTTCTCAGATCTCATTCCCCACCCTGCTTGCCTAGAGGCAACCACTAACATGAAATTAGTGTGTAGCCCACTAGTCCACTTTTCATGCTTACTGTATATACATGGTTGACCTCATAAACAACACGGCGGTTTTAGAGAGCTATCATAATTTACATATCTTGTAGTTTGGTTTTTCCACTCAGTGTTCTATTTCTGAGATGTGATCATGTTGATACATTCAGTGATAATTTCTACATCATTCCCACCTCCCGGTGTGAACCAAGATATGTTCTATGCCTGACAGCTTCAATGTGTCCGTGTGTAAATTGCATAAAAAATGTGCAAGCAGCACATCTCCAGAAGATCTGCAGGTACAAGGGATCTGGAAGTACATGAAGCAGGTCCACACAGATTTTCACAAACGCTCTTAGCTGCTTCACTCACCCTCAGTAGAGGCAGTGTTGGCTCCACAGGACACAATGACTTGCTAAGAATCAGCCTAAGGATCAATACTACTTTTTTTTTTTAAATGTTACTGCACGAGTAGTTATTTATTAACGAAATTGAAAATGTCTCTTCAGATCTCTTTTATGATGCGTTTTCCCATAGCTCATCTTCTGACATTCAACTGTATTTATGGCTGTCTCAGCTCAACATTTATTTATCATTTAGGGAACACCTTTAAAAAGATTATGTTAAAATATACGAACCAAAATTTACCATCTTAACCAAGTGTACAGTTAAGTACATTCATATTGTGGGACAAGATCAAAATATTACTTTAAGTCCTGTGTGCTACCACAGATCAAAATGATGCCTGTGAAGTCTAGGTTGAAAACGGACGAAAAGGAAGAGAAAGGTAGGTAAAATAATGTAGGCAAAAAGAGGAACAGTTTTGGCTTGAAATGAATCCAAACTCAGCCATTAAAACGCTGTGTGACTTTGGGTAATTCATTTAACCTTTCTGGACCGTTCTTTTCCGCGTCTGAAAAATGAGAGGTTGGGTTTAGATGACTTCTAAGAAATCTTTCAGTTCTAAAATTACTTATGTAGAAAAAGCGAGGAGAAACGTTTCCTAAGGAGCAAAAGATGGGGGAATGCCACCAATCATCTACAAGCTCCACCTGCCCACTAAGGTGTTGGCAAAGAAGATATGAACTGTTCATGGGCAGGTATCCTGTCTGCTCTGTTGTTTCAGCCTGGAGCTCTGCCAACAGGCCAGTTGACTACCTCCACCTGAACCCAGTGCCACCCTCAGCAGCTGGTGACCCGCCTCTTAACCATCTCCAATTCCCGGGTCCCCGGGGGCACACTGGTTCTCAAAACAGGTCCTGGTAGTCTCGCAATACTAGCATCCCAGGGTTGAGAGATGAGAGTCGCCGCGCTGTCTCAGCAGGGAAAAGAGGGATGGCTTTGCACAGGGGGTTATTTAAGAAAAACGCTTCCAGAGCTCGGAACGACTCCGCAGGGGGTAGGAGGCGCCAGCACCACCAGTGGCTCGAAACCTGGAAAAACGAGGCGAGCGGAGCGGGTATCAGGCAGCTGGGCTCAAAATGGGAACGCTCGGCCGCGCGTGCGCAGCGCGCCTGCGCCGTGCGTGCGAGCGCGCGCTCGCTCCGCTGGCCGCGCGCCCCGGCGCTCGTGAAAGCTCGCGGTCGCTTTGAGGCGCGCGCTGGCGGTCCTCCTTCGCTCCGTTTACCTGAGGGACCCGCGCCCACCCACAGCCGGCGCCGCAGCCCCCCCAGGAGCCCGGCCCCGAGGTGTGAGGTGAGTCCCGGAGCGTGCGGCTCCCCCGTCCGGCTCAGCGGGAAGAGGGCTCGGGGAGTGTGGGGATTGAGGAGGTGCTGCCGCGGCTGCCCGCTCCTCTGTCTAACCCTATGCCGAGGAGCCACCAGCAGCCCCGGCAGCTCCTCCTCAGGGATCGTTATTCTTGTCGCGGCCAAAACAAAAGCTTTGGGTGCCGGGCTGTGGCGGGGTATCTCGGGGCTTGTCGGGGTGGGCGGCGGGCCGGCGGGGCGCGGGGGAGCGGGGTTTGGGGCTGGGGGTTGAGGCGGACAGATGCCCGCGGACAGGATTAACCCTCGCGGTCCCGAGCTCGCGCCGGGCAACCTGTGCGAGTGTGGCCCGCGTTCCCTCCGCGCCGACCCCGGCCCAGCACTTCGCTTCGGTGGCGCCGCGGGGGCGTGTGGCGCTCCGGGGCCGCCCGGGGCGTGGGTGGAGGACGCAGCCGCCGGCGGGGAGGACAATGCACCGAGGGCTGCGCGTCGGGGCGCGGGGGTCCGCCCGAGACCCGCGTCGAGGCTTCCCCGGGCCCGGGCGGTGTCTCAGCATCTGACTGGCCTCCTGTTTCCAGTCCTAAAAGTTATTCCCTCCCCGCCCTCCAGTTCGCAAAGTCTGCTGCTCCGTCCTCGAGGCTTCCCCAGCTACCCGCTTTGATGCTCCGTGTGTTTGCCCTGGGGTACCGCGGGGCAGTTAATCCATAGCCTCTGAAATAAAGCTGCTGTTAAAATATTTCAAGACGTTTTAGCAGCTTCCTAGAGGCTTTTGAGGAGTTAGGTGCCTCCTCAATAAGAGAAAGAAAGACGGCTGCTTCTTTTCTTTTCTTTCTGTTTTCCTTTTTTTTTTTTTAGAACAAAAGCACATGCCACTAATTCAGGCATAGGAGTCAACTTAAAGTTGCAAAATATCTGCTGTAGGAAAGAGGTCCGGTTTTTGGCCCAGAATTAAAATGAAAATTTGAATTTTGGTTCCCTTCTAAATTTAAAAGGATGGAGCAGCAGAGCAGACTAGCAGCTATGGAAGTGAATAACTGCTATATAAAAACAGCCAAACAAGATCATATTTTATAGAAGTAGTTCTCATAGACCTGTCATGTTTATTTACAGGAATTGGGTTACTTGGCAAAGCCAGTACCGCAAGAACAAGGAAACAAAGACCTGACATTGGGGATGTTACCTCCCTCTTCAGCCTTCTTTTAGCCTTTAGCGGTGTGCTGACAGTCAAAAGAATAGATAAATCAGTAGTTTTGTTATTAAGAAGCATTTACTCCTCAAGATAATGCTTTCCATCTGTACTTTTAAGCAAATCAATACCATCTTTTTCCTCCAGGAAAAAAAAAAAAAAGCATTTGCTTGAACTACCTACCAAACCACAACATAGAGGTAATAAGACAGGAAAGTGGTGTAAAAGCTTAAGGGGGCAGGCTTGCAAGGACAGAGCTGAAGATAAAAGATAATTGAGATGCAGCCCTTCTCTTACAGGGTTGCCTTTTATTTAGTGCAATAACATGTTCCTCCTCTACCCCCCCAAGGGCTTTGAAACTATCAGGAAAATAAGAAGGTAATTAGTAAAGCCTACCATCCTACCTTCTCTTTCCTCCTACTTTTTTTTTTTTTCCTCATCCACTAATATTCTCTACCTCCACATCTCTCTTGAATCTACCACAGTGTCCCATTAATAAAAGAAGAAAGGACCGTAGGCTCTTTCATTCCTTTTTTCATCTTAGCTACTATATTCCTCTGAGCTTTATTCTGTGCTTTGAACATTTAGGTGGCTTTTTCTTGGGAGTCCCGTAATTGAGATATTTGAAATAGGGAGGGTTGAGGGGAATATAAGAGTAAAGTGCACATTCTTTCTTTGTATAGTACAATGTGAAAGCTTCATCATTGGGCAAAGAGAGGGGAGTTTTTAACTCACAATAATTCCTCTGTTTCCCACTTGACAGGAAAAAAATGTCTCTCCCCAACTTAAATTTCATATTTGTTAGTAAAACTATGAGATTTTATACTGAAAACTTATTCTGAGCATATTAGTTTGTTGATGTTAGGCTGCTATTGACTTTATTTTCTTTAAGAGACAGGTGGTAGGAAACAGTTCTTACCACATCTTTACCTTCTTTCGCAGGGGAGAGCAGTGTTGGCCTCAGGTTTGTTTTTTTTTAACCCCTAAAACTCTAGAATTAGGGCTGCTTAAAGCTGCAGCTGCCCACGTAAAGAGCAACAGTGCAAATGAAAAGCAAGACTTTGAAATATGTTCGAGAGATTGTTCAGTGTAGGTTTGCGAAAAGATGTGTAGCAGGGTCTTGAGGAAAGAAATGAAGGTTTTTAATAGTGGCATTTCCATAAGGCTAGGAATAAATGTTTGAAGAGTAACAACTCTTCATTGGCTAGGAAGCAATTTTAACTGACTATTGCATCAAAAATGATGGATCTCTCTTTGAATTCCAATTTGTTATACTGAGAACTAGCGACAGTTTTGGTGGATCCAAGGAATGCACTGCAAATGAAGGTTGAGATAAATATAACTAGGCTAGTCGGCTTAAAAAAAAAATCCTGGTCCCCAAATTTTATCTCACTGAACTAATTTTATAGTCAAAGCATACAACCATGCTAAAGGGAAAAAAACAAAAATCAGGGGCTTGATATTAGACCATTTTCTGAACAAATTTTAATTGAAAAGGGAAGCCAAGGCTGGAATGTCACCTGATTTTTTTTTTTTTAGTCCAGAATCTGGCTATCTTTTAACTTTCCAGTTTTGTTTTTAGATTCATTTTAAAAGATCTTCTGCTTTCTCTAGTCTTAAAAGTAATGTATAATTTGTAAAATGGACTGGATTTTGATGCCTACCATTCATTTAAATTTTGAACTTAGATGTATTTGTTTTTCCTGTGTTTGTTTTTCTTTCTCAGCCATATCACTCAGCACACTGGAAGATTAGATTATCCATTGTAATCAGTAGATGACAAGATGAACTTTAAAAATTACAGAGATGAAGTAGGAAGGAGATACTCTGAGATTAATAGGAATCTGGGACCTATGAATTAAATATGGAGCTGCATAAATTTTCTTTTTGCAACCAGGAAACAGTATTTCGAGAATGAATTTATTTTTTAAGTAATAAGATATGGAAAACAAAAGGCCAAAAACCACATGGGTTTTAGGAAAAGGAACCTAACATTTTAGAGCAGTGAGTATGCTCTGAATGTATATTTTGCTCTCCAACAAGACCGTAATTTACTTGAGAGAAGAAACTCTTTAGAGGTAGTCATTGCTAATCCTTGTAATGCATTCTTGGAAAACTCCTCTGAAAAAAGACAAGGAATATTTCTCCTGTTCCCATTGTAGCCACCGTGTTTGAGGCAACCTTTAGATGGTATTTCTGAATTGGAAATGCAAAATGTTATCTACATTTATAGAGTGTCAAGAAAATTAAATCTAAACTGAGAATGATGAACCAGATCACTTTCTGTACAGAAAGTGTGAATTGGAATAGAATTGCTGAACATAATCTTTTGTTGCAGGACCCTCTTGACAAGCCCTCAGGGCCCACTGTTGTCATTGTTTCTTCTGGGATTCCGCCTGCTTTCCTCTTCACAGTTGCCATCTCCTGCTTTTCCCACTTGAGTTCTTTGGGTCTGGCTTTGTACCCAGCCTGGGAAGACAGTCTTCCAAGACTGCATCCCCTTTATTGCTGTTCTTCAGGACAAATACTCAACTTATTTTAAGGGCTTTTACTTTCTGTCATCAAAAGAAAACTGGTAAATTGGGTAATACCAGATTCCTGATGTTACACATTGATAAAAATTAAAGTGTATGTTTAAATGTATCTATTCCTTTTTGTTTTGTGATGAAATGATAATCAAGTAGCTTAATCTGAAATCAGTTTTCCATGTTATATTGCTCTGTAGAGAAGTGAATGTGCCTCTTTTCTCAGGGTTAGGGCATGAACAACTGTTGCCATTTGCTCACTTTTTACTGGGCCCTGCCTCCTGAGGCTGTTCACTCCAGTTATGTTAATCCAGCAGTTCCCTTTATTCAGCGGAGATTCTGCAGATTCTTATAGTAAAAAAATATAATATCAGTAAGAATGCCAGAAGGACTTTAAACCTTTATTTAATGAGTTGCTATATTTTGGCAGTATCTCTTGGGGTCCCGAATCTTCTCTGTGTTCTGCTGTCTAGAACTTCAACTTACAGCTTTTCCAAGGATGATTCTACCTTACGAAAAATGACTGGTGCTACCCATACTCACATGATCTTGATTAGAAGCAGATATTTCATTATGTTATTTAAAAGCAGTTTAGAATACATATCAAAATTTTTTTTAGGGCTTCCCTGGTGGCACAGTGGTAGAGAGTCCGCCTGCCGATGCAGGGGACGCGGGTTCGTGCCCCAGTCTGGGAAGATCCCACGTGCCGCGGAGTGGCTGGGCCCGTGAGCCACGGCCACTGAGCCTGCGCGTCCAGAGCCTGTGCTCCGCAACGGGAGAGGCCACAGCAGTGAGAGGCCCGCTTACTGCAAAAAAAAAAAAAAAAAAGTTTTTTTAAAAACTGTGTATAACAACATTTGATTCAGCTGGTAAGTGATCTGATTTTTTTCAATATTGAAAATCAGTTTTTGACTCATACTATGTTGATCATCAGTTTTTTGCTTTTCTTACTACCTACAGTAGGACAGTTTTTTTTTTTTGCGGTACGCGGGTCTCTCACTGTTGTGGCCTCTCCCGTTGCGGAGCGCAGGCTCAGCGGCCGTGGCTCACGGGCCCAGCCGCTCCGTGGCATGTGGGATCTTCCCGGACCCGGGCACGAACCCGCGTCCCCTGCATCGGCAGGCGTATTCTCAACCACTGCGCCACCAGGGAAGCCCAGTAGGACAGTTTTGTGTCCCTTGGCTTGTTGCATAATTAGCGGCCAATAAATCAGTGATTCAGCTAGTATTCTTGTCAGCCAGTCAGCACACATTTATAGATTTAGCAGAGTTAAATTATCCCATACACAAATAATATACGACAGATTTTTAAATAAAATTTTAGCATTTATAATATTTTATTTATAATTTTTTGTTTTTGTTTTTTGGCCACGAGGCATGCGAGATCTTAGTTCCTCAACCAGGGATGGAACCCTATGCCCCCTGCAGTGTGGACTCCCAACCACTGGACTGCCAGGGAATTCCCTATAATATTTTATTTTTAAACAACTGAAAGTTTTATTCTGTTCTGTATATGTATCTTTTTGACAAAAATGATATATATATATATATATGCTGTTTTGCAAACCATTTTTAAATTTTATTTTTTACTTATTACTGTCTTACCATGTCAACATGTACAGATCCTGCTCATCTTTTTTAGTGACTATATCATGTATTGGTTGTACCATAGTTTAACCAGTTACTTATTGGTAGACTTATAGGTTGCCTCTGGTTTTTATTTTATAAACAATGTTGCACTAACATTTTGGTTATACATCATGTGTACTTGTGTTTACTTTTTTTTTTTAATTTATTTTTGTCCGCATGGGTCTTCGTTGCTGTGCGCGGGCTTTCTCTAGTTGTGGCGAGCCGGGGCTGCTCTTTGTTGCGGTGCGCGGGCTTCTCATTGTGGTGGCTTCTCTTGTTGTGGAGCACAGGCTCTAGGGTGCGCAGGCTCAGTAGTTGTGGTGCACGGGCTTAGTTGCTCTGCAGCATGTGGGTTCTTCCCAGACCAGGGATCAAACCTGTGTCCCCTGCACTGGCAGGCAGATTCTTAACCACTGCGCCACCAGGGAAGTCCCTGTGTTTACTCTCTTAGAATAAATTATAGAATAGGTTTTCTGGATCAGCTTGTACACATTTTAAGGGCTTTTGATGTACATAGCTGTTTTTTTTGAAATACCAACTAGTTTACATTCCCACCAGTAGTATTTGAAAGTGGGGAATTCCCTGGCAGCCAGAGGTTAGGCACTTTCACTACCATGGCCTGGACTCAATCCCTGGTGGGGGAACTAAGATCCCGCAAGCCACACGGCCAAAAAAAACCCTATAGTATTTGAAAGTGTTGGAATGTTGAAAATGTTCTTTTCCCTGCACCCTCTCCTATACTGTGTTCTGTTATTCTTATTTTGCCTATCTGATTGGAAAAAATGTTATATATCATGTTCACATGTTTTTAGTAGTAAAGTTGAATATCTTTTCATGTGTTTGTTGGCTATTTGTATTTCTTTTGTAAATTTATGTCTTTTTCCCATTTTTCTATTAAAGTATTCTTTACCTGCTTTTTAAAAAATTCATTTTATGTATTACTTTTGCTAAGCACACAATTATGTACAAATATCCTATACTGTTAAATTACTCTATTTTAGGATAGCATTTCTCAAAATATGACTTATAGATCACCTGTAATAGAACCTGAGATAATCATTAGAATGCATATCATTTTCCAGAGGTTCCAATTTCTTAGACTTATGGGGGAATCTATGAATCTGCTACACATTAAGATTAGGGCACCTCTGATTTGGGGGAAATATAAATTCTTTAAGATTTTTACTATTCCTATTTTTCTTTTTGTCTCACGGCATTCCAGTGGTTTTTTTCTTATTTATTTTAATAATCATAAACTACTCTTGATGTATTAAGATTATACCCCAGCCTAACATAATAATTTTACAAAAATGTTTTGATATGTGGAATTTTTTATTTTTTGGCTGCGTTGGGTCTTTGTTGCTGTGTGTGGACTTTCTCTGGTTGTGGCGAGTAGGGGCTACTCTTTGTTGCAGTGCGCAGGCTTCTCATTGTGGTGGCTTCTCTTGTTGCAGAGCACGGGCTCTAGGCGAATGGGTTTCAGTAGTTGCAGCATGTGGGCTCAGTAGTTGGGACACGCAGGCCCTAGAGTGCAGGCTCAGTAGTTGTGGTGCACGGGATTAGTTGCTCCATGGCATGTGGAATCTTCCCGGACCAGGGATCAAACCTGGTGTCCCCTGCATTGGCGGGCGGATTCTTAACCACTGTGCCACCAGGGAAGTCCTGATACATGAAAATTTGAATGTCGTAGTACATAAAGGAAAGCACTTTTGTAAGGTGGTGGGGAGCCTTGCTTGTAAATGAGGCAAAAGGAATAATTGAGAGAAAAACAAGTAAATAGAGTAGGCAGAAGTATAAGGGGGTTTCTCATCTAGTTTCAAAAACCCAATGAGCTGTTGCTTAGTTTCTTCCTCAAGTTTTATGTGGTAGTCTTCTTTGAACCATATATTTGAAACCCATACTGCTTGAAAAATAGATTAGTCTAAGTGAAATTTTTGAAATTTTTATTGTTATATACATATTCAGTAGGGAGCAATGTTCCCTTTAACTTTTTTCTTTTTCTTTTTTTTTGCGGTACCCGGGCCTCTCACTGTTGTGGCCTCTCCCGCTGCGAAGCACACCGGACGCACAGGCTTAGCGGCCATAGCTCATGGGCCCAGCCGCTCTGCGGCATGTGGGATCTTCCCGGACCGGGGCACGAACCCATGTCCCCTGTATCAGCAGGCGGACTCTCAACCACTGTGCCACCAGGGAAGCCCCCCTTTAACTTTTTTTAGTTGCGAGCAGATGAACATGCTACATAAGCAGCAAACTACAAAGATGGAACTTATATGGATGTTTTAATACTGTAACCAAATAAAGCTTTCAGTGGTTATTTGACACATTTAATGATATGCATAATTGTTACTGTGCTGCATGGTAATTAAGCTTAAATATAAATGACTGTGTTTATTATCAGTTTTCTTTAGCCAGACATCACATTTTTGGGACCAGCTTGAAGGAGGAAAAAATATGGCAGGCCCAGAAGCTTTTGCAAATATTTCTGGTTTAGAGATTTCAGTATTAGAGAGATTCGATGTTTGGGGACAGGTTTGCTCGTATCTTTAGTGTTCCTAATTCTGGAGGCCACAGACTTTCCTTTTCCCGTCCACTACTCAAGACCAAATACTAGGGGGAGAAATTGGGAAGATTCAGCCATTGCTTTACTTTCTCCAAATAGTTTTTTCTGCCTAGTAATTAAAGCTTGGGATGCAGAGGTCCCAGTCATTGATAGTCAGTGGACAGAGGACAGTTTCCTTCCCTGCTTAAGCCAACCCAGTTCCAGGTCTCAAGGTCTAAGCTGTCACAGGCCCTAGTATATATTTAAGTTGTCTGTTAACCCGGGTCTCTGAGAATTTCTGAACCTGTCTTTTTCATGTTTTCCCAATCTAGGCTGTCTACCGCAAACAGAAATATCTAATATCTATGAAACAAAATGAAATAAAAGCAAATTTAACATCATTATGAAACCAAATGAAAGTATGATAGCTTAGTATATGCTTTTTTCCTGCCAGACCTGCCTTCCACTCCACCTATACCCTTCCAGCCCCAAATGAGATGCATATTTTTACCCCTGGAAAAGTAGTGTCAAGTCAAAGATTCTACAACTTGGAAGAAACTATAACTGGGAATCATTCCTATTCCTGCTATAACTTTCTAGGGATGATTTCTAGTCTGTGCAACTTGGCTGTGTGTAATGAAGCATTTGTTGGTCAAATGTTTCTACATCTATGGTACTAAATTTTTGTACTGTCTAAAAGGATGAAGTAATATTGGGAAAATGTCCTGATACTACTTTTAGAATCTTCTGTTTGCCAGTTCATTATTGGTTGATAGTAGTCTTTGTATCAGCTGTTATTCAGCAATAAACCTACCTAATGTTTGACGTTGCTTTACCTTTTATAGAGTACTTTTACATGTATTACTTCATAATTCACTAATAAATCATCTTTGTTAGGGAGGTGCTATTTTCAGGAAGGAAAGTTCTGAGTTCAGAGAAGTGAAGTGACTCAAAGAGCTATAAAGAGGCTTGAATCCATATCTTTCTATTTATTTATATTTTACATCTTTCACAGATACCATCTGCCAAATCATTTAATGTAAAAACTGCACTATTAATGATTAAAACACATATAATAAAATTTAAATTAAATAACTTAGGTTATAAGTGTGGCAGATATTTAAATAAAGTTTAGGACAACAGCATACAGATTTTTCAAAATGGATCAATTACGTCTTGTGGCAAATGAAAAATTGCCATCATAGATGGGAAATTAAACGATATGTTATATAGGCAACTGAGGGAAGAAAATTTGCCTTTGAATGCTGTTTATGTATTATGTTAGTATATCTATACCTTAAATGATAAAGTAGAAAAACTATACTATATGAAATACCCATGTATTTTATCTATTAGGTCAGTATTATATCTCTCAACAAAGATTTTTATTTTCAATTTCTCTTTCTGGTAGTTCATTGTTAGTGTATAGAAACGCAACTGATTTTTGTATACTGATTTTGTATCCTGAAACTTTACTGAGCTAATCAAAGATTTTAATATCAAGTCGATAATATTTTGAGAGGAAATGACTAATTTCTCCCATTTTTAAAAAATTTCTTTTCAGATATTTCAGTCAAGGGAAGAAATAGCTCTTCTCCTAAGATGGAATCTGTTGTTTGGGAATGTGGTTGATCAACTTGATCTGTTGGCCAAGTGGTGCCCTACGTAATAAAATGAAAAGAAGAGGCAAGATGATGTCATTTTCCCATATTGTGAAACCAAAAACAAATGCCTTTTGTGAGACCAAGTTAACAAACCTCTGACGGTGCAAAGAGTATTTCTGTTTGAAGAACTTAACAGAAAGATAGAAGAAGTACTTTCAAGCTGAGACCTGCGAGTGTATAGAGATCTAACATACATATTGAGTAGGCCTGATCATCTGATTCTCATTCAGTCGAGGAAGCATGGCTATGAGTTGGATCGTCTTCATTCTGTGGCCCTTGACTTTGTTTGTGGGGCATATAGGTGGGCACAGTTTGTTTTCTTGTGAACCTATTACCTTGAGGATGTGCCAAGATTTGCCTTATAATACTACCTTCATGCCTAATCTTCTGAATCATTATGACCAACAGACAGCAGCTTTAGCAATGGAGGTAAGACTTGATCTATTATTTGACATGTCGTAGAAAATGATTCTTGTATTGCCCTGTTAAACCAAGCTAATGAATGTGTCTGATAGACAACAGGAAAATAATGTTGTTTTTAACTACATCTTGTACGTTAAAAAGTTATGTATTTAGGTTCAAACTCTAATGGATTGAAGATTTCATGTTTGGGGAATGTTACTCATCTTAGTTTTCAGACATTATTCTTTTATAAAGAAATTTGAAACACTGGAACTTGGGAGATAATAGCCATTCAGAAGTTTAAAATTGTCCAAGTTATGATATGATTACATCTTTTCTGTTTTTGATAATAAAACTTTAAAGAACAGACTATACTAATAGTACTCATAATTCAGTTACTACATATTGAAGGTAACATGACTTTGAAAATGGGTTCTTTTGTTCAGCCTTAGGCTGGTGGTTTACAGTATCTGAATTTTCTTAAATAATTAAAATGATTTCCTGGTCTTACCATGCCCCTCTGCATGTGGGATCTTAGTTCCCCGACCAGGGATCAAACCCGTGTCCCCTGCATTGGAAGGCGGATTCTTAACCACTGGACCGACCACCAGGGAAGTCCCTCCCCGTAACTTTTTATTATGGAAAATTTCAGTTATATATTGATAGAAATGTATGGAGTGATATAATGAACACCATATACCCATCTTCCAGCTTCAAAAATTATCAACACTTAGCTAGTTTTGTTTCATTTATGACTGCACACCCACCTGGGTTGCTTTAAAGCAAATCCCAAACACCATAATTTCATCCATAAATATTTCCGTATATATCTCTATAAAGTAAGGACTCTTTCAAAATATGTAAACATCATACCTGTATCATCAGATGTACAATTAATGTTTAAATTACTCTTAGAATTTCACAGTTTATTTTACAGTTGACTTTTCAAATCAGAGATCATGCAATGCATTCAATTGATGTCTCAGTTTATAGTTTCTCTTTCCCTTACCCCTCTCCCTTTTTTCTTGTAGTATGTTTGCCCTATTTCTCATAGTTTTATTTTGCAGATTGCATCCCTGTGATGTTATTTACCATGTTCCTCTGTCTCTGTTTTTGTTTTGAAAGAATACTTCGTAGGCATATAATGTCTGCTTGTTACTCTGTAATTTTAGCAGCCATCGATCATCTCTTAGGTCAATAATTTTATTAGGGGTTTGCAAAATGGTGATATTCTAGTTCTGTCATTCTTCATTTCTCAGCCAGACTACTTTATAAACAGAAACTTCCTCTTTTTGACTATTGGACTATTAAGTTACTCTTGTGTTCAGTTTTTATAAGAAAGACAGGATAAACACTTGATTGTTTTCCTTTGTTTATTAGTTTTTAGGATAATAAATTGATTCACAAGAATCTTTCAAAAGTGACTAATGAGGTCTTTTTTTTAAGTATCATTATGAACTCATGGATTTTTACCATATTTGATGTGTTTCAGTCCATTGCAGTTATTATTTTATTAGGGCTCAAATTGTTCTGTCTTTGGTAGTGGGAGCTGCTTCAAGGTAGCTCCTAAGTGTATTTGACACTACCCTAGTGGTTTCTAATAGCTTCCTTGCTTTCTGGTATGATCTAACCTCATTTCATAAAATTCTGCCTTAGACCTTGAATTATCAGGTTTTTTAGGGAGCACTGGTTCCTTTTAGTTGGAAAGGATTTTCACGGACTGCTATCTGGGTGTTACGCTTATTGATACTAGGTTAGTCATTTTTAGGCCTTTTCATAGACAGAGCTAGGAAGTACTTTTTTAAAAAGAAAGTACATCATGAATTTATACTGATACTTGCAATTAAATCATATTGCAGAGTTTTTATTTAACAGTTTAAAATTTTAGTTTTGTTTCTCTCTTATACTGAAACCTTATTATATAGAGACATTATATAATTTCAGAATAATAGCAATATTATTACTAACAATGTAATTACTGAAAGCAGTTTTAGATTTCTTTCTACTTCTTTTAGTCCTTAGGGATGTATTTCACCAAGGATGTACAGTCAAATTACTGTGTTTTAAGTTACTTAAGTACTTCTCTGTTTGGTTTAATTCAATACACAATTTAGGTTTGTGTTTCATTTTGATTTTAAAGAATGACTTAAAATTTTTTTTTTTTGCTTAAGTTTGTTTTATAATTATGTTTCAGAACTTTATATATAGGACAAGGTACAATCAGAGAAGTCTAGTTTCTGGCCGTCTCCCCTCCACCTTATTCTTTCCTTCCGTTAGGGGGTAGTCTTTTTTAAAAGTTTTTTTGTTTTTCCTTCCATTAAAAATTATAAATATAATATAACAATTATATAAAATGTTTATGCAGTGTCTATATTTATATATTCTTTCACTTTCCTTTGATATAGTGTCATACTGTTTGTTTTCTCTACCTTGCTTTTTTCACTTAACAATATATCCTGGATATTCCATAGTAGCGTTTATAGATATTCCTCAAAAAGATTTCTTTAATTATGGCAGAATATACATAACATAAAATTTACCATTCCAATCTTTTTTGGGTTTTTTTGGCCGCACCGTGCGGCCTGCGGGATCTTAGTTCCCTGACCAGGGCTTGAACCCCTGCCCTTGGCAGTGAAAGCACAGAGTCCTAACCACTGGACCACCAGGGAATTCCCCCATCCCAACAATTTTTAAGTGTGCAGTTCAGTGGCATTAAGTACAGTTGCCTTGGTATGTCATCACACTATCCTTCTCCAGCACTTTTTCAGCTTCCAAAACTAAAATTCTGTACCCATTAAACAATAATTTCCCATTCTTCCATTCCCCAGTCCCTGGCAACCACCATTCTTTCTTTCTTTTTTTCTTTTTCTCTGGATTTGACTACTCCAGGGAACTCACCAGTGGTCCAGTGGTTAGGACTTCGTGCTTTCACTGCTGCGAGCCCAGGTTCAGTCCCTGGTAGCAGAACTAAGATCCCACAAGCTGGGCCGCTTGGCCAAAAACAAAAAGAAATTGACTACTCCAGTACCTCATTTAAGTGGAATCATACAATATTTGTCCTTTTGTGATTGGCTTATTTCACTTAGCATAATGTCTTCAAGATTCATCCGTGTTGTAGCATGTGTCAGAATTTCCTTCCTTTTTAAGGCTGAATAATATTTCATTGTATGTATATACAAAACATTTAGTTTAGCCATTAATTCATCAGACAGTTGGGTTGCTTCCACTTTTTTGGCTGTAGTGAATATAAGCTGCTATGAATATGGATGTATAAATATCTGTTTCTCTGCTTTAAACTTTTTCACACCCAGAAGTGAAATTTCAGGATAATATGATAATTCTATGTTTAATTTTTTGAGGAACCACCACAGTTTTGCATAGCAGCTGCTCCATTTTACATTTCTACCAACAGTGCACAAGGGTTCCAATATCTCTATATCCTTACCAGTGCTAGTTATTTTCTGAGTTTTTTGTTTGTTTGTTTGTTTTGTTTTGGAATAATAGCCATTCTAATGGGTACGAGATTGTCCTCATTTTTTTTTTATAAATTTATTTATTTATTTTATTTTTGGCTGCATTGGGTCTTTGTTGCTGCACACGGTCCTTCTTTAGTTGTGGGAAGCGGGGGCTACTCTTCATTGTGGTGCGTGGGCTTCTCATTGCAGTGGCTTCTCTTGTTGCAGAGCACGGGCTCTAGGTGCGTGGGCTCAGTAGTTGTGGCTCGCGGGCTCTAGAGCATAGGCTCACTTAGTGTGGTGCATGGGCTTAGTTACTTCGTGGCATGTGGGATCTTCCTGGACCAGGAATCGAACTCGTGTCCCCTGCATTGGCAGGTGGATTCTTAACCACTGCACCACCAGGGAAGCCCCTGTCCTCATTTTTTAAATTCAGTTCTTACTGAAGGACATTTGCTTTTGAAAGCAGAGCTTGCTGTTGATGTCCTTATTCATCTTTGTAGGGCCAGCAGCTAACATAGTGCCTAACACATAATAATTGCTAAAGAAATGTTTGAGTGAGTTAATGAACTTTATAAACTGTGTCTTCTGTAAGAGGTGGTGGTAGTCATGGTTGTGGTTATAGTGCTGTACCTAAGCACTTAATCTCTTGGAGTTGTAATTGATAAATAGTGATGGGCTTTTTGGCGATGGTAATGGTAATCCTCATACCAATACCAAAGATACCACTTTCCTGTGAATGCTAATATTTTACTTTGCCCTTTTTTGGCAGGGGGTGGGGGGAGTGGAGATCAAAATGACTTGAAGCTTTCAACATTGTGTTTACACTTATAAGTGGGGTAATTAAGAAAAAAATAAAGCAAACCAACTCTCATCTCTAGACCTCTCATGTTCTTTCTGCCTTAATAGTCTCATCTCCATCTTTGCCTGTCATATTCTAATGGTTGTACTTGATGCATTAATAAGTAGAAAAAAAAGGAGTGGATAATAAAACATTTCGTGTAGTATCATCCTGTTTTTGTTGAAGAAAAAAAAGCATGTTCATGTAGAGTAAGTGATCTGGAGAGATTTTTGCCAAGGCCAACAGTGATTGTTCCTGAATTAGCACAATTTATTTGTGTTTTCTATGTTTTTCATTTAATGTTTGTATCAGTATTTTCTGATTTTTCTGTAAGAAACACATTGTGTTTTCAAAATAGTAAAATTAGTACAGAAACTTTATTTTTAAAAATCTCAGCTGTCCTTTTTTGTCTACCTCCCAGTTGCAGTGTCTAAGACTTAGTATTTATTAAGTGTATTTTGATTGAATGACTGAAACTTAAGGAAGAACTTGGTAAATGCCATAAATAGGCATAAAGTGCTAAGAGGATTCAAAAGAGAAAAGGATCATATGTAGCTACAGATAGCTGCAGATCATATTTGAATTAACCTTGAAAGACAGGTGGATTTTCTGTTTGTTTTTAAGAGAATAATATACCCCTTTCTACCAATAATTAACATTTTGTGGATAGGCTTCTTAGGAAATGAAATTTCTTTGATTATGTTTATTCTTGAAATTCATTGCTTATATCT